AGTTTAGTTTTCAGTATTCCCACAATTAAACATTCTCAGATGCAAAACCTAGAAGGGGATACTCTTTATAAAATCTCCTTTGGAACTTAAAATTTAGATTTCCACAATTAGCAGTAAATGGTTAACATTTATCTTGAAAATATACCTTTACTCTCCTAACTGATTCAAAATGCAATCAGTATTAAATAAATATGAATTTTTATAGATCAATACAAGCCTTTATTATTATATGTAATAAAGAACATATTCTATAGTTTATATATATATATTATTAACATTTGTTTAATTGGGATCAGATGAAACATTTTAAAACTTAAAAATGTGTTGGAGAATGTTCTCTCTTCTTTTTGTAAATTTATTTTTAATTGGAGGATAATTGTTTTACAGTACTGTGTTGGGTTTTGCTGTACAACAAATATGTATTTATTGAATTCCTTCTATATGCCTAGTACTACTCTGGGCATTAGGGAGATAATGATAAACTAGCAAAGGTTGTGTTTGTTTGTTATTATGGAAAAATGCAAATATATACAAAGCTAGAGGAGATAGTGGGTTTCTCTGGTGGCTCAGTGGTAAAGAATCTACCTGTCAATGCATGGGACGTGAGTTCCATCGCTAGGTCGGCAAGATCCCCTAGAGAAGGAAATGGCAACCCACTCCAGTATTTTTGCCTGGGAAATCTCAGGAGCCTGACAGGCTACAGCCCACGAGGTCACAAAAGAGTCAGACACAACTTAGCAACTGAACAACAACCAGAGAAGATATTATAATGGACTCCTATCTACTCATCACCCAGCTTAAACAATATCATCTCATAGTCTTCTTTCATTGACAACTACCTCTCCATTCCCTTTCATATTACTTTGAAGCAAACCCAAGACATCAAATTGTTTCATCCATATTGGTATATAACTCTAAAAGATTATATAGACATGACATATATTCATTATAACCATAATATCATTTCCCCACCTAATAAATTAAAAATCCAATCATCTGTAGCTTACATTTCAACAGGGGAAACAAGGAAAAAATAAGCAAAAAATATTAGGCAATAATGACAATAATGCCCAGGTGATGGGATAAAGATTGATTTTTCTATTGGGTGATCAGAGAAATCCTGCAAGGTGACATTTGATGATGGATGAGCATAACAGGAGGGAGCAAAGCACATGACTGTGTAGAAGAAGAGTCTTCCTCACAGAAGTTCCAGCCAGTGTAAAGATCTGAGGCAGAGCTCAGTGTTCAAAGAATGGGAAAGAGGCCTAGCAGTCTGGGAGGACCAAGTGGAAGAGTACAAGGATATGATTTTGGAATGCTCACCTGAGGCCATGAGAAAGGACTTCAGACCTGACTCTAACTAGGTGGGATGGGCAGCCTTGGAGGATTCTGAGCAGGGGAGAGACATGCCTTGACTTATGATTATAGAGGAGCATTCTGGTTGCTCTGCTAAGAGTGATGTATAGGAGGACATTTTAGGAGAACAAGTGTCTGAAACAGGAGCCCAACTAGGAAATGATTGAAACACTCCAAGTGAGCGCTGGTGAGAAGGTCATAAAGGTCATTGATGAATTAGGGTAGTAGCAGTGAAGATGGTAAGAAATAAGTCATTTCTCAGTAAGTTTAAATTGACAGCTAATAGAATTGGCTGATAAACCAGATGTAGAGTAAAAGATAAGAAACAATGTAAGTCAAGGCTAACTCCAAGATGTTTGGGCTGGCCAACGAGTGCCATTTACTAAAGTGAGGAGTACTGGAGGAAGGGCAGGTTTGAAGTAATTGGACATGTTAAGTTTGAGATGCCTATTACACACACATCTAAGAAAGACATCAAGTAGATAGATAGCTAATTCCAGAGTTTCTGGGAGAGATGAGGGCTGGATCTATAAATTTGGGAGATATCAGTGTGTAGATGCTACTGTAGACGCTAGTCTCATCATGGGACTGAACGAGAACACCCAGGTAGTGAGGGAAGACAAAGAAGAGGAGAGATTGGAAAGAGAAAAAGATCCGGCTGAGGAGCCTAAGAGGCCAGTGAGGTAGAGGAAAGCCAGAAGAGTGGATCCCGTGAGCCAGGGCTGCTGTGAGATCAGTAGGCTGAAGACTGAGAAATGCCAATTAGATTGGACCCTGTGGTGGCTATCTGTGACCTTGACAGACAGCTTCATCATATGGATAAAGACAAAAGCTTAAGGGTAGTGGACTCAAGCATGAATGGAGGTGAAGAAGTGAAAACGGGGGAGCAGAGAAGTGGGCTGGCAGCTGAAGAAGGAAGTAAAGTCAAGGGAGGTTCTGTTAGTTTTGTATTTTTTAAACTGAAGTTATTACAGCATGTTTGCATGCTGATAAGAATGATCCAGGAGAGAGTAAAAAACATGATTCTGGAAAGACAGGAGTAGTTGCAGGAGCAAAATTCCTGAGTGGGTAAGAAAGGACAGGGAAGCTAGTGCACAAGTCAGGGAGACACCCAGGAACACACCACACCCGTTTCTACAGGAGAGGAGGTCGAGTATGCGGGGAAAGATATAGGCGCTTGGACAGATGCAGTGGCTGGAGGATATGGACATTCTCTTCTATCGTCTCACCATGAAACAATAGGCAAGGATGTCAACTGAAAGTGAGAATTTGGGGGATGGTGCTGGTTTGCAGCAAGCAGTAGATAAATGCAACAGGCAATGACTACAGGACTGCAGTAGGACTGCTGGGCAGTGTTGAGGGCCTGCTTGAGATGTGTGCTCTGTGAGAAATGATCTTTAAGTCAAACTTGGATGATGTTGTTCCCTTCTTTCCACAATCCAGTACCTCTCCCAGCACTGAGGACTGTATCTTGCTAAAATTAGTCACTACATCGGTTCATTGGTTATTATATAATTTATTATTTATTAATGCACATCACCATTCATTCACTGAATCATATTTATTGAGTGCCAGGCACCACTTAAGGCACTAGGGCTATATCAGTTGAACAAAACAAACCTCTGACCTCAGAGAACTTCTCTTCCATATCTTAAAAGACAAGAGACCTCATCTTTGGTTAATACAACTCCTCAGTGAAAACCAGTGAGGAGGTGGAAGTTTCATATTTAAGTACTCAAAACTAAAGTCACCTACATTCTAAAAAGAAGAATACCAAGGTGCCATGATAGATGTGGCCAGTAAAGGAGTGAAGGACATGCAGTCTGCCTCAGGGAATGCATCTTTCTTTTTTTCCCACTGGTGCTGGGCTAGTTCCATGGAAAGCAGCCAAGTGCAGCAGACAGAAGAGTAATATGCTGGAATTTTTATCTCTAGTGTCAGAGTAAGGATTCATCATTATCTCCAGAAAAGCATGAATTAATGGACCATCATAACAAAACAGGGTCTGCTCCATCCAAATTCTCAGGACTACATAAACCCCGGAAGATACAAGTTCCTTTCAGTTTAGGAATATGTAAAACAGAGCATACCCTTGAAAGGGCTTAACTGAGGGCATCTCCTCATTCCACCTTCCTTTTTTCTTGCCCGTTTTGGCCTTTTCTTCCTTCCTTCCTTCTTCTTTACTCACTAATTTTCATCTGTTTTCCATTTTTAGTGAAACAAAGGCTCTTAGAACCACTAGCTCAGGAAGCCACTGTTTCACTATAGGCTGGTCGCTGGGATTCTAGGAAGAAAGCTGGCTTTAATTGAAATCATGGCTCCCTTCTGACTTTGGGCAGGAAGGTGCGAGAAGAGTGGATTGGGAACATGGACTGTGAGTTCCCTCCAGAAAGAGATTTGGATCCTCTTTTAGTGACCTCAGACTTCACAGCTCTGCTACAAGAAACAAGAATAAAATGCTTGTCCAGAAAAAGAAGTCAAGGGAATTCCCTGGTGGTCCAGTGGCTTTCACTGCCAGGGCCCAGGTTTGATCAGGGAACTGAAATCGTGAAAGCCATGCAACAAGGCCAAAAAAAAAAAAAAAGTCAGAAATGGAGTGAGAGTGCTTTATGCTCTGCTCCTCTGCATTAACAGTTACTTCTTATCTGTTGTTGTTTTTTTCATCTTTTTTTTATCTGTTGTTTTGAAGCGGGAACACTGAAACACGATAGTGTTTCTGTTCCGCTATTACATGATAGCATGTCCCCATGCTATATCCCTCTCTATGCAGTAGATGTCAGCCTCACACAGTTCTTCTCTTCCTAACTACAGATTCCTAAGAAAACTACCCTCTTACGTACCCTTTCCCTGGGTAAAAAGATTAATTTCTTCTCATCTTAAGCATGAAAAACAATAGTAAACAGTGATCCTGGAAACAGAATTGTATTAATGTACCTTGAATGGACTGTGGGACTATGGGAAAATGGGACAAGTGAGGGGTGGGGGACAGGTTAAAACCTGTGGGTCTCAGTTCAGTTCAGTCGCTCAGTCGTGTCTGACTCTGCGACCCCGTGAATCGCAGCACGCCAGGCCCCCCTGTCCATCACCAACTCCCGGAGTTTACTCAAACTCATGTCCATCGAGTCGGTGTTAGTTTTCTGAATGTTGAGCTTTAAGACAACTTTTTCACTCTCCTCTTTCACTTTCATCAACTATCAGGTGTGATATCAAGGTGGGCTGTATCACAGTTATGCTATCAACTCAAGAAGATATGGACATGGACCTGATCAAAGGTCTTCATCTCCCTCAGGTGGAAGAAGCTGAGGCATCAGCAAGTAGCTGCAGTGTCCTGGGGAAAGATATCAGTGTAAACCATTGATATCCTGTCTGTCCAAAGGTGCCCTATCTTTGTCCTCAGATAAGACATTTCTCTGAGCCTCAGCTTCCTAATCTTTAAGAGAGGAAAAAAATAATAGTTCTTGTCTACCCACAGTATTTAATGAGAAAAAAAAATCAAGATATTGTGCAGAAAACAGTTTGTAGATAATGTATTATTTAAATATAGATAGTAGATTTAAAGTTATAAAGGCAAATAAATGTAAGAGTCATGATGGCATCTGTATGATCTCCGAAGGCAGCGGCGTCGGAGCTCGGCCAAACAAACGATGACAACAGCAGCTCGGCCAACTTTTGAACCTACAAGAGGTGGAAGAGGAAAAGGTGAAGGTGATTTGAGCCAGCTGTCAAAGCAGTATTCAAGCAGAGACCTACACTCTCATACAAAGATAAAATATAGACAGACCACTCAGGATGCCCCTGAAGAGGTTCGAAACCATGACTTCAGGAGAGAGTTGGAAGAGAGAGAGAGCTGCTGCAAGAGAAAAAAACAGAGATCGGCCAACCCGAGAACATATAACCTTTTCTTCAGTGTCAAAGAAGCCCCGATTGGACCAGATTCCTGCTGCCAACCTTGATGCAGATGACCCTCTAACAGATGAGGAAGATGAAGATGAAGATTTTGAAGAGGAGAGTGATGATGACGACACTGCAGCTCTTCTTGCAGAGCTGGAAAAAATTAAAAAAGAAAGAGCTGAAGAGCAGGCCAGGAAGGAACAAGAACAAAAGGCTGAAGAAGAAAGGATTCATATGGAAAACATTCTGAGTGGAAACCCTCTTCTTAATCTCACTGGCCCATCCCAGCCTCAGGCCAACTTCAAAGTTAAAAGAAGGTGGGATGATGATGTTGTCTTCAAGAACTGTGCAAAAGGTGTAGATCATCAGAAGAAAGACAAAAGATTTGTAAATGATACGCTTCGATCTGAATTTCACAAAAAGTTCATGGAGAAATACATTAAATAGTACAGTTTTATGTGCTGAATTGAAGGCTATAAAATGTAAATGATCTGACTTCATTTTGATTTATTTTTCCCTCCCCACCCATGTCTAAATTGTGTATAGGCTTCCCTAATTTTTAGTTCCAAAGTATCTTTTCCTTTATTGGTTAATTACTTGGTAAGGACTTGGGAATTGGTTTAACCCAGTTTCCATCTCAATATTTCCAGTCATGTGTTTTCTCTTAAATATGGGAAAAGAAACCTGCTTATAATAAATATTTTTAATAATTTAAATAGCCAAATCTGTGTCCCCAACTTGTTTGTTGAAATGTATGCAGCTAATAAAACATTACGTATTTTCCCCCCCAAAAAATTTTTTTAAATAAAAAAATAAAGGCAAATGTACATTAGTTATGAATAAAGAAGAATTCAGTGCTCAAAATTGAACCTTCAGTTAATTATTCTTACAGATTTTTCTCAAATTATCAGAGGGAAATTTTTGTTTCTCTCCTGAGTTCTTTGTTAGCCATGTGGAATTTTGACACACTTAGGCTTTATTTCACAAAAAGATCCCAACCTGGAGGGAGCCATATAATACACATGAATGGTCTTGTGGAGGGAGAAGGGTTCCTTTTCTAGCTTTTACATTGTACCATTAGTAGACAATCATAAGCCACTTATAAACTTCAAGTGCAAAAGAAATAGAAATATTAATCTTCAACAACCCGTTCTTTCCAATTGGCTGTGCTTAATTGCATTCCACGGTTGCATTTGATCCCATTCCTCTCTTAGCTTCTTAGTTCATAAATTGAGATGGCTAAAGCTTACTATATTGTGGTCAGTAAGCACCAGTTTAGGCAAGAGACCTGGAATTCATCACATTCTTATTTTATCTCATACTAAATCTACAGCTTTTGAATTGAGACATTACTGAAAGAATTCATATTTGAGAGCAGAAAGACTGTTTTATACCTTGATGTTGAAATTTGAGCAGAAGTTTCAAAATGAGATTATTGATGCTCTCTGATGTCATGAGGAAAGGCCAAAAGCAATTCAGATTTTTTTCATTTCTCATGACTCATCCCCTCCTGTGGAGTTTTGGGCTATATATTCCCTGCCTTGTCTGTTCCTCTGCTCCTTTTGTTAAGAAAAAAATCCTTTTTGCATCACCACCCCCCACCTTTTATTTCTTTTTTTTTTTTGCTGAGGCTTTCAATTTATTGTATCATGAACTGCAGAAGGAGAAGCAGTTGAACTCTCAACCTTTGAAACTTCTTAATACTTGCTGAGTGGTCAAGGGGAGAAGTAGAAAAGATTGTCGATTGGACTTTACCCCATTTGAAAAAGACCTTCCTACAACAGCTCAGCCATCCCCATTTTAAGGAATTAAGTATTTACTTTTCTTAAAATCCAAAATCTTTTGGAACATTCTGCAGAAAGTGAGGCCAAATTTCCACACTAGTGTCAACTTGGGAACTTTTTTAGACCCACTTTAAACTCAAGTGCTTTTGCATAAGGTATGTAACACATATTCAAAGTAATTTCATTTTAGATATATACTTTTATATGCTATATTGCTTTCTGCTGTTTTCTCAGAGTACTTTGCAATTATAAATAGCCGTCATTGCTCTCACCTAAAGCAGGAGTTTCTGGGTAGAATTCGTCACAGAAGACTAGATACAATATCAATATGGAAGTAAGCCATCTCTTAACATCAACAATCTGCTTCATGATCAGAGAGGTGCTGATAACTCCCCACCTCCTCTCTGGTCTGCCTTTCTAATAATTTCATTATGCAAAAGTATAATATTAGAAGCTATAAAAGGCCCCATTCCACCAGATTTTGTGTCATTTTTTTCCTGGGACCAGGGTTGAGGTCTTTTTTTTTTTCTTCTGTTTAATCTAACACTAAATATTAGTAAGAGATGTGATCAGTAAGGCTACCACTTCTTCCTGGTACTTCTGTTTCCACTGTACTCTTCAAGGCTGCTCACAGTTATACTAAATGAACCTCTTTTCCATTAGTCTTAATTCTTTCCGTTCCCCTCTCCCACCCCGATTTCCTCCTATTTTCAGATACTTGAAGATAACGTCTCTACTGCCTTCTCTCCTTCAAATCTTCCAGACATAAATATTTTAATATATTCGCCAGTGTATTTGTGATGGCTTTGAAGTGTCTGCACAACCGATCCCTTATTTATAAAGCCCACGTCTGCTGAATGACCTGTAATGCCATACCAGCTCCTGGACTCTCCCGAACAGTCGACCTGGGAGGATTTTACTTCCACTACTTACAAAGAGAAAGATGGAGACAAGGGAGAGGATCGATTACAATGAGGAATCTTTTCATCCATCTTGTCGGTGATCTTTGGGGACGGTGTGCTGCTATTTACATTGAACAGGAGGAGGAGAGGGAGGATGGCGAGCAACGCTGGAAGTGGGAGGCGGAGCTAGCCCAGCGCTTAAAACCCCTCGCTAAAAGGGAAGCACGTTCGTTTGTGCTAGAGGCACTCTCCTGGAACCGCGAGGGATGGGGCGGTCTGCTCCCTGAGGACTGACGGAGATCGGAAGAAGGAAAACGAGGACAAGCAAACAGGCGACACAGAAGAGGACCTCTGGAGAAAGCGGAAGGCAGGAGACGGGAGGGGGAAGGAACCCACGCCAGGTGGAAACAGGACCCGGAGAGAACCGCTCGGGTCCACTGAAAGAGAAGAAAGTACCGGAGGATTGCCTTTTTTCCTTTCAGTTAATGAAAACGACTTTTATCCTCATACAAGGCTAAGGGGAGGTAAAGAGAATCTCTGTTTTCTTAGGGGGATAGCTGAGGGAAATCCAGACTATCTCTTTGAAGCTCTGAAATAAGCCACTGCCTGCTACACAGTGCAAAACGGTCTTGGTTTCTGAAGAGCTACATCCCTTTCAGGAGCATTCCAGCCAGAGTAGCTGGTACAGTTCTATTTTTACATTTAAATGTCTGTGTCTCTCCCCCCGCCCCCATTTTAACAACACTTTCCTTGTTTGTAAGCACGAGTGACAAGAAAGTGTCAAGACGGAATAGGAATATTTTCATCTTTCTCTTTTATCTGCCTGGGTCTTTTTATTATTTTTTAAAGAGGGTAGGAGTGGTCCTTATCACGGAAAAGGACGTTTCCATTTGAAAGGCTCTCTCTCTAAATATATTTACACCCATATGCATTTAGAAAGAGAGATACCTTTCGGAGGTTGAAATCCTATTGAGAAACATGGAAAAAGGAGCCAGGCACCGGAACAACCCTGAAAAGAACCACCCAGGTGGGAGCAGTTCGCAGGAGGCTGATTCTGGAGGGGGCGGAGTGGCCCTGAAGAAAGAGATTGGATTGGTCAGTGCTTGTGGTATCATTGTAGGTGAGTCCAATTCCTTTTCCCACCGACCGTTCCTCCCTGTCTGGTGGTCCTCTCGTAGAACCTCAATCCCTCAGGCCCCCAGCCCCGCAAAGTACTGTTTGCTGCGTCCTGCTCCCTTAGAAAAGGGTTGTCGTTCACCTGTGCTATCGCCTACACAAGCGGATTAAGTTTGAGAGGTATAGGACGTGCTGTATATCATGCATCTCTTCCCCCAAACCAGTCCTGTCCAGTGTTTGGGGAATGGAGCACTTAGGGGACACGTTCCTGGCTGATGGTCAGTGTTGCCTGCAAGCTTCTTGAAAATATAGGTCTCTGGACTTGACACTAGAAGGCTGATTCCAGTGACTTAAGGTAGGACTGGGGAACCTAGATTTTTAACAGGCTTTTCTGCAGCCATCTCCTTACCAGGCTGTGGATTGCCTTTTGAGACATATTTAGGAGCTATTTTGTTTTACTTTATATGAGACTGTGGGTCTCGGGGGTGTGTAATAAAAATAGCCACAACAGCAGTGTAAGGATGCCTTGCCTTTCTCTAGCTTTTCCATCTTATCCAGCACTTTATCTTGTGAAGTAGATGTGACAGGGCTGTTATTCCCATTTCATGGGTGAGGAAATAAATTATGGAAGAAAAGACACGACAGATTGTACCTTTCTGTAATTGTGTAGTTGGCAGCTTCTCTCATTGCTTAGTGGAGTTGTGTAATATCCATGTCCCTTACCTCATGAAAGACCTTGTGAGGTTCTGAAGGGAAACGGGAGTAATTAGAATGGGGAGTCCGGCTGAAGGCTTTGAAACTGGGAAGCCTGAGTGTCCTGCCTTTATGCCAGAAGGTGAGAGTTTCTTCTGCTGTCTTTGGGAAGGGGCCTTATGTTTTCCCCAGAGAAAGGGATACAGGACAGTCAGGCCAGATCAGTTTCTGTGCAGACTTCCTGTTGAAGGCTTGTACTGTCCTGATGCCTACAGACCAGTTTTTCTAGAATAATCCCATGGTCCTCATGGTAGCACAGAAGCGTTTTGGCAACTGAGCAATGCTGACATTGGAGAACACCCTTGAAATCAAATAATATCAGCACAGTATTCAGATAATCCTCTTCACCTCTGCACCCAACCTTCAGTGTTACCTCCACTCAGCTTTCAAGGTGGAATGCTGCTCTAATTCTCTGACTCTGGTAGGTTTCCAGGCATCTACAGTTACAAGTACGGTAATGTTATTTTAGAATATTATAGTCAGGGTTTTAATCTCTCATTGTCTTTTCTCTATCTCGCCTTTATTGCAACTGCTCTAAAAAATGAGATCAGCAAAATCCTCAATATGTACAGCACATGCCAATTTAAGGTCTATAAATAGCCCAGAGCTGTTACCTCTTTCACCAGTTTGACTGAGAGGATTGAGTACCTTCCTCCCTTTGAGAAGATTCTGATTCATACACAGATGTTTACACCCACATACACATGAGCACAATCAGACCTCCTTCCTGCCTCAACCTTGCTCACCCACCCCTATATATGTGCAAGTATTCAAGGGTTGAGGATATTTTCCTATATAATGGGCTTGTTTTTGTCTCTTTCTTTAGTATTTTTCTAAGACTGTGAAGAAATGGGAGTGTCCAGGTGTAAGAGCTATGGCTTTTAGTTGGGTGAATGCTGCTAATGATTTGTCCACAACCTCGTGGATAGCACTTCAGTGTAAGAATAGTCCCAGTGTTCCTACTGGTATTGTAGCAAGAAGAATAACAACTCTGGTATTCTATGGTGAAAAGAGGCCCCAAATATATGATTTCAGAGAAATCAGGGTATTATTCCAAAGTTCAAGAATCCTTGTAGAGTTAATAGTCATGATTGTATCTCCATTTAAGCTGAGACACACATTTCCCCTTTAGGGTGTTGGGGCAAAATCCTTTCCACTTCCCCTGCCCGTGTGGCTGTTGATTTACAAAAGTGCTGAGTAGCTGCCCTGTCCTCTAGAGGGGTTTCCGAGTAGATGACAGTGATTCAGGTTTTTTCAAGACCAAATGCAAAAATAGAAATGGCATTCTGCACATGAAATTCAGTGATCTAGTGTTCAGTGTCAACACTGTGGAAGAAAGAATTCGAAGATATAAAGAGAAAGGAAATTTCCTAAGTGAATTAGATCACGAGGTATGGAAAAATAGCAACTGCCCCAAATTGATGTCATATCCAGTTAACTTAGGGATAAGTTAAACAATGTTTCATAAAACATTACAAAAGTTTCATTCACAATCAGCATCAATAATTTAAAATAGGAATAATAAGGACTTCCCTGGTGGTCCAGCGGTTAAGAATCCGTCTGCCAAAAGAAAAAAAATAGTAATCCATCTGCCAGTGCAGGGGTTATGGGTTCCATCCCTGGACTGAGAAGATCCCATACACCTCAGGGCAGTTAAGCCCGTGCGCCACAACTACTGAATCCTGAGCACCCAGAACCTGTGCTCTGCAACAAGAGAAACCACGGCAATGAGAAGCCAGTGCATTACGTGGAAGAGTGGCTTGCACTCGCCAAAGCTAGGGTGTGTCCATTCATAGCAGCAAAGACCCAGTCCAGCCATAAAGAAATAAATAACAATTTTAAAATAAAATAGGAATAACAAGATGGTCAGTGTTAACAGAAATACAAAATGAACCAATAGAAGATGCAGGCTCTGGAATTATCTATAATATGATTGGAGAGATAAGTTTTATATGCATTAGACAAAGAACATTGGAAATTTATGATATGGTTGAGTTACTTAAGGAGGAAAAAGTTAGGTGAATGGTGAGAAGCACAAAGAAAGAAGTTCTCCCTGAGAACTAGATTTAGAGCCTCTTGAAGGACATGGAGAAATATAGAACAGAGAAGATAATTCTGGGAGATTTGGTAGGTAGAAGGACAACAACTAAGCTGTTATTTCCTTGAGCAAAAAAATGTGAATCTTTAGTGCTTAGCAGAGTCCCTGACTTGAGATAGTTACTCAAATGATTGTTGAATTTAATTGACCCTTTGACAAAAATGTGAAGACAGTAGTAATAAAGTGTTTATTTGAATGGCTGTTGGGAACCTGACTTGAAAATCTTTTAAGCTAGGAATAGTTTCATCAACTTGGAAATGAGGTTGTCCAGTTTTAATTTTTAAACGTCACCTTTGCCCTAATTTAACCAGGCTATTGCTCACCACATATTTGGCCAAAGAAACCTGTTGGCAATAGGTGAACTTAGATTTCTCCATGAATGTGGAGTCCCCCTCAAAATCTAAAGAAACTACGAAGGAGCCACAAAATTCATTAATTAATGCTATCAAAGCTACTGTTATTATTAAAAATTTATTATATGCCAGACACTTGTCCAATTGCCAAACATACATTCTTTTTTTTTTTTTTTTTTAAGTATTTATCTGGCTGTACCAGGTCTTAGTTGCAGCACATGGAATCTGGTTCCCTGGACAGGGATCGAACCTGGGCCCCTGCTCTGGGAGCATGAAGTCACTGGACCACCAGGGAAGTCCTGCATTGTCTTATTTATCCCTTACAATAATCCCATGTGGTAAGCACTTCTTAGTCCTTCCTCCACATAAGGAAATACAGGCTCAGAGAGACAAGAAACTTGGTGAGGGTCACACAGCTGAAAAATATTAAAGATTCAGACCTACAGCTTGTCTAAATCTTAAATGAAACTCATAAGCATTATTCTCTACTCTCAATTGTCATGTCCTAAAAGAGGTGTTTGCCTTCAGATCCTGTGCAGAGGTCCTTATTTGTTTTTATAGACGAAGCACTCAGTGTTGTGTTCCTTGCAAGGAAGTGTCCCAATGTAAACAAGATCTGAGCAGTCAGTTGAGAGCTGAAGTACCAGTATAGCTGCAGGAAGACACTGGTGGGGGGTTGGAGCCTGAGGTGTGCTGGCTCCACTATTGCAGGATGTGGTCAGCACAGACCATGCTTCCACTGATTCTCCCACATGCTCACTCTTCCTTTCTGGACCAGCGTTCTCTACTGGAAAAACCATAGCTTTATATAAACTCTTTATATATATTACGTTATTTAATCCTGACCACCATTCTGTGGAAATAGATATTATAACTCTGTTTTAAAATGGGGAAATGGAGTCACAGACCCTGGAGGACAGACTACTGAGATCTTCTGACTCCAGAGTCAAAGCTCTTAGCCATTTCCTGTTTCTAGTTGGTAACCAAGAGAGGAGGGAGGGAGGCTGATGTGTCTTGTGTGGTGGGGGAGTGGGCCATGCAGGACCATAACCCTGACATTGGAGTTGGGAAAGGACTTTGGTATCTGATACTGGAAAAGTTGGGGGAAAACTTTTTTAAAAGGCTGTTTGTCAACAAAGAAGTATACTGTAGGTGTAACCATACTGAAATGGCACTGGGCTGATTTGGAAATATTTCAGGTCCAAAAGATTTTCAGACCCATGTATTTTGACACCATTTTAGAAGATTTTACATTTTAGTCTTTGATTTAATGTATTAGCTTTCTAATCCCCCAAATGTCTATTGGATATTAACCAGAGGGCTGGAGTGTGAAAATTCTTCTCAAATTTGTACTTTAGTTTTTGTTTGTTTTTTTTTTCCAACATGAGAGGGTTTAGGATTTGGTTCATTCAAGATGAAAACATGTTTAAAACTCTCATTGTTCTCAAAGAAAACTTTGAGACAGAAGCCAAGTAGGATACTTTTCAAAACAAACACATCTTGGTAAACAGAGAGAGGTTATACTCAGTGGTGTAATAATAATAAGGAGCTACCATTTACTGAGCACTACCACATAGCAGATCAGTGCTTTATGAGTATTTTCATCTAAGCCCATGAAATAAGTACTGTTATGGAAAGGGTGGAATTGAATGAGTAAATAACTGGCAGTGGCAGAGCCAGGATTCCCACCCAAGTCATTGAACTCTGAAGCCACTGGGCTTAATCAAAATGCTCCACAGGGTGGCTGGAACCAGGGATCCTGTTGCTTCCTACCTCCAGGAACCAGGGGGCTCAAGGAGT